GGCCCTAATCTATGGATTTCACATGACTGGGAACACAGATATGCATCTGTTGGTCACAAATACCTTTTAAAAAAAGGTAGGGGCGTGGATCAGAAAACCAGTCAGTATCTGGTGTGACCACCATTTGCCTCATGCAGCGCGACACATCTCCTTCTTATAGAGTTGATTGTGGCCTGTGGAAAATTGTCCCACTGCTCTTCAATGGCTGTGCAAAGTTTCTGGATATTGGCAGCAACTGGAACATTCTGTTGTACGCATCGATCCAGAGCATCCCAAACATGTTCAATGGGTGACATGTCTGGTGAGTATGCAGGCCATGGAAGAACTGGGGCATTTTCAGCTTCCAGGCATAGTGTACAGATCCTTGCGACATGGGGCCGTGCATTATCATGCTGAAACATGAGGTGATGGTGGCAGATGAATAGCACGACAATGGGCATCAGGATCTTGTCATAGTATTGATGTGCATTCAAATTTCCATCGATAAAATACAATTGTGTTCGTTGTCCATAACTTATGCCTGCCCATTCCATAACTCCACCGCCACCATGGGGCACTCTGTTCACAACGTTGACATCAGCAAACCACTTGCCCACACAACGCCATCTGCCCGGTACATTTGAAACCAGGATTCATCCGTAAAGAGCACACTTCTCCAGCGTGCCAGTGGCCATCGAAGGTGAGCATTTGCCCAGTGAAGTCGGTTAGGATACCGAACTGCAGTCAGGTCAAGACCCTAGTGAGGACAACGAGCACGCAGATGAGCTTCCCTGAGACGTTTTCTGTCAGCCTGTGAATAAATTATTTGGTTGTGCAAACCCACAGTTTCATCAGCTGTCTATATCAGTCTAGTAAAGGCCCAGTGCACTACTTTCGTGAGAAAGAAAAAATTAACTAAATGTATTTGAGAATTTACCAGCATTTGTAACTTGAGTCTGATAATTATCTGTACAAAACAGTTTATCTGATAATACTTGTGGAATATAAAAATACTTTCTTGAAATACTTTGCAAATGCAGCTTATTTCTATGTGAAAACTGAAATGGTCTACTCTTCCTAGGGTCCAGCAAAATTAAGGCAGTTATACATTTTAAAAAAACATGACATTAGAATTACATATTGCAGAGAAAGGGACAGGGCAACAACTCTTTCAATTCCAGCTATTGAATCCTGCAAGATAATGTTCTTAATTATAAAACCACTTTTTTGCCAAATTGGAGATGCTGAAAAAATGTTTTTGCCCACACGCTAATTCTACAAAAATATTTTTCAGGGGGTGCTGCAGCACCCTCAGCACCCCTACTTCCCGCGGCTATGCTCTGGTGGACCTTCCTGCAGTCAGCATGCCAATTGCACACTCCCTCAAAACTTGAGACATATGTGGCATTGTGTTGTGTGACAAAACTGCACATTTTAGAATGGCCTTTTATTGTCCCCAGCACAAGGTGTACCTGTGTAATGAGCATGCTGTTTAATCAGCTTCTTGATATGCCACACCTGTCAGGTGGATGGAATATCTTGACAAAAGAGAAATGCTCACTAACAGGGATATAAACAATTTGATAGAAATAAGCTTTTTGTGCATAGGGAACATTTCTATGCAATTCGAAATTTGGTTGTGCAACAATTTTTTGATTGGTAAATTAGTCTAGCCAGTTATCTAAACTTGTAGTACCGACCAGCACGCAGGGCAAGTACACAGGGGCCCTGTCCTCCAGGGGGCCCCCATTGATTTGTTAGTCACTCTCACTCAGCTATCACTAACATGGCATGAGTCATGGCAAAATGAGTAGAATTGCTGGAAATTAGCTTTAAACCTGCAAATATTTCTCTCCACCCCATGGCAAAATGGGTAGAATTGCATGATTTTTTAAATACAATTGCCAAATTTTCACCCCGCCCCATGGCAAAATATGTAACGGTAGCTAACGCACTTGTGTACATCGCGCTGTTCCGTACATTTGACCTTATTTTAGCGCCCCAAAAACGTAATACTTCCAGGTCAACTGTAATAGAATACCATTGTAAAGCACAATTTCTCGCCTTTCCAGCAAAATCAATGACGAGACCTTCATGCTGCCCGTCTCTGCATGATTGAAGAAAGTAACGGAGCTCCGCCGGGTCTTTTTTTAAATGGCGGGTGGGGAAGCGAAAGCTACGGCGTCATAGTGAAAGGCGGAGATATGTCGTGTGGGGAACCGGCTTTTTTCACACGATTTGTCCAAATTATCACCTCTAAAATGTAAATAAAACTATAAAGAGTTTATATAATGTCTCATTACATACCTATTTGAAGGGTTGTGTCAAATTTGAATAGGGTTTTTAGGGCGGCACTGAATTTATCTTCACAATTAAACTGTGGGTGTCACGGTTTTTGAGAGTCATGACGGCTCGCAGTGATTATGCGAAAAATTAACAATTGATTGAATTAACTATTGATGAACTCACGAGAAATTAACTTTACACTCACCATTACACTCACCATTGATCATTTCTTGTTTTTAATCTGCGAGAGAAGCGCTACACCTGGTGGAAAGAGGCTGTACGGCACAGAATGAGTTGAATAATGCGTGCCGTACGTTAAATCATGACATGTCACACTTTAACGTAGAGCGTCAGCGGGGTCAGTATATTCAACTTTTCTCCATACTATTGGTCCATTACCATGTCAATCAATGCTGAATCGAAACTTAGTTCACACCCCAGATTTTGATGCTAACACAGTCGCTACAGTCCCATTAGTTTTCATTGCAGCCTCGTTTGAATGCTGCGGTTGCCCACATATGTACGCAACGGCATTAGCTACCGTTAGAACTGCAGCACTTGCTTTAAAACTGCAAAAATGTATCTCTGCCAATGGAAAAATTAGTAGAATTGCATGAAATGTTTTATAACATTTGTTACAAATCTTGCTTAGGGCCCCCAAAAGGCTAGAGTTGGCCCTGGTTGCAAAGTATTCACCCCCTTTGTTTAGGCCAGCATAAATATGTTCAGGAGTAAAGTTAGGATTAACAGATCGCATAATAAGTTACATGGACTCACTCTGTGTGAAATAATAGGGGTTGACTTAATTTTGGAATAATTACCCATTCCTCTTTCCCCCATACATACAACGTCTGTAAGATCCCTCAGTCAAATATTGAATTTCAAGCATTGATTCAACTACAAAGACCAGGGAGCTTTTCAAAAGCCTCATAAAGAAGGGCAGTGATTGGTAGATGGGTAATAATAACAAATCAGACATTGAATATCTCTTTAAGCATGGTCAAGTTAATAATTATGGAAAGGGTGACCTTTGCTAATATTTACAATTGGTAAGTCCAATTTGTAGCTCTTAAATTAAGGACCATGGTTGATGACCCACTGCCTTAAAGGGATACTTCGGGATTTTGGTAATGACTCTACTAGGGCTGACCCAATTTAGTCGACTGGTCGATTGTTTGGTCGATAGGCTGTTGGTCGACCAAGATTTCTTTAGGCGAGCAGTAGCAAAAACATAATAATGTAATCATGGCGTACAAGACACCTGTCTGATTCGCGCCTGTCTGAGTGGACTGATCCATTGTGGAGGCCGTGGGGATGGCACAGTCCATCAGTCTAAGACATTGTATATGGTTATATTATGTAAGAACAATGGTGCAACACAAATAAAAATAATATTATTTTATAACAAATGCGCTTTCTCCCGCGTTGGATAGTGGTCGCTGTTCGCAGTTTGGAAATGCATCGGTGCGCTGTTGAATTGTACATAATAGCAAAGTTAGCCAGCATATTGTGTTGAGAACAATGCGGTGGAGGCAGCAGGGGAGCTAGGAGACGAGAAAACAGCCCTTGTCTTAACTGTCCAAGAAAAGTGAGGTCAGAAGAAACCCCAACTTAATAATAGGCAAATATAGGCAAATAGTGTACAATCCAGGTGTGCAAAGCTCTAAGAGACTTACCCAAGAAGACTCAGAGCTGTAATTGCTGCCAAAAGTGTTTCTAACATGTATTGACTCAGGGGGGTGAATACTTACTGTTTCTAATCAAGGTATATTAATATTTTATTTGTAATTAATCTTGGGGGAAAAAAATAGATTTTTTCTTTCACTGACATTACTGAGTATTTTGTGTAGATCGTTGACAAAACATGACAATCAAATCCATTTTAATCACACTTTGAAACACAATAAAATGTGAAGAAATCCAAGGGGGTGAATACTTGCCATAACAACCTGTGGGTCACTTCCACAATTATTTGTTTGTGTAACCCACAAAATGGTATCACTATGGAAGCTCATTCCCGGCAGCATTTAAATAAATAAAAATATGGTATCTCGAAATTTACATTTATGTATCTCGAGATTTGGAGATAGTATCTAAAAAAAATGATAGTATCGACATAAAAAAAAGAATGTGGCAGGAATGAGCTTCCATAATGTCTGATATAACCCTCCTCATGGCCATGTACTGTGGATCCCTGACCCAATTCAAATAGATCATACTGGGGGTTTATCTGGTACTCAGGGATGTCAGTGGGTGCCCGGACATTAATGAATGAGCTGAAATGGGAAATATGATTAGATTGATGCATTGATTGACAGAGTGGACTTAAAAAATACACACTGAGCAATTAACTTGTATTTCAACTGTTATAGAAAAAATATCTGGATTATTTTTCTACCTGAATCCTTCATAAATGAGAAGTCTCTTTGCACACTTTTTGAACAGAAGGCACACTTTATTGACCCCTTGAATTTGCACAGAATTTATTTTAAAATGTATTTTGCACAAATATATTTACACAAAGGTAATGTCAAAGTTAGTCATGTATATTTTTTATACGTTTAAATGTTTTCTTCACCTATCAGATAATTTTTGGCATAAGGTTAGCAGTGTGGATAAGGTTAGGGTTGAAATCAGATTTTAAGAAGAGAAAATTTAGAAATAGGCGGGGTTTAGCCATTTGTAGCTGTGGTAACTAGTGACGACCCACTGTATGCCATGTGATCAGAGAGAGAGAGAGAGAGACTTGAAATTAAAGTATCTATATTATACTTTGTACATCAGTCGTACGTATTTGACAGGCACTGTCGACCTAATGCCGTGGTTGTCATGATTCGTTCGTTTCGTTTGTAAAGTTTTCTGGGCTTGCTAGCCAGTTTTCAAGCTAACTAGGTCGGCAATCTCGGCAACATTGTAGCCTGCTGTTATCACTTCAACAATCTTCAACCCCCCGCTGGAGATCTGCGACTGTTGCCAGTAGTTTTTGGACACTTCTGTCAAGAAAGAACCATGAATGGAGGAGGCTGCCACATGAGTGGCGGAGGAGGTGACAGTCGCGTGGGCGAATCTGGATCGCGACCCACTATCACGCTGGAGGACTTGGATACCTTCAACGAGGATGACTTCGATTCAGACCTCCGCAGCAGCAACGGAGGGCCAGATGAGGAAAACAATGCTATGGAGGAAGAGGGTCAGGATCGCCTGTTAAACTACTGGCAGGACATTGGCAGAGGACATCATGTTGAAGTGCCCCAGGGTAAGAGGGGGAAAGTTGTAGATTTAGGTTGATCTAGGGTCGAAATGCAAGCATGCACACGTTGTCTTGCACATGAAACTTTTTAATCACGACTTGCTCCCCTCGCAGACAGACAAACTCCTGTTTTATTCGAACGACAACTTAAACCACTATCATTGACAGCGTGGTGTGTAGGTGGGGAAAAACGCCATAAGTGAGGTCTGTATTTACATGTAAACCATTTAGATTTTAAATAATTTCTGGCCCATTATGGCAGAAGATGACTTGGACCAGCAACACAAGATAAACACAACTTCTCATCAAGCCTACTAAATACTAATTTGTACTGGCACATGTTATTATGTGGTATAATGGAGTGTGAACTCACATTGTCGTTATGGGAAATGTAGGTTAATTGCACAGGTCTGAACTTTGTTCACAACACTAGGGAAAAGGGACAACTCACCCTTTCAGAATCAGCTTTCGAAGGAAAAAATAGACCACATCAAAGTAAATGGTTGGCTGTGAGAGAACTCGTGACTGATAAACTAGCCTGCGCTATTCAACCTGTTGTAGGATGGAGGAGAATATAACACCTACACGTTGATAAGGCTAACACCTCTAGATGTTATTTTGTGGAATAGACCTAGGCCTACAGGCTAGGTAGTTTATCTAAACATTTTAGATATGCAAGCCTATTTGCCCTTTCAGTCACAAAATGGAGGTTATAATCAGATTCATGAGTGAGTTTGTTTGTAGCCACATCTCGGAGTTAAGCAGCTGAATGGGCCTAGATTGTGTTGGTTCTAGTGCAGATGGGTACAACATGGGTATCATAGCCTAGCTGTTTTCCTCCTGTACAGAAAGTAGGTCATAGGCCACATAAGGAAAACAAACAAAAGCTTTCATAGTTTAGGCTAGTTGATCAGAGAGAGAATGGTGCTTGATTAGACTACCTCAAAGTTAATTTGTGTGTCATATTTGGTCACAGGCCAGGGTTCTACAGCAGGGGTGTCAAACTCATTTTAGTTCAGGGGCCACATGGAGGAAAATCTATTCCCAAGTGGGCCGGACCGGAAAAATCATGGTGTATATATAACTTAAAAACAACAACTTCAGATTGTTTTCTTTGTTTTAATACGATCAACATACAACATAAAGCTGGAGCCTGAGGACAGTGTGTCCAAAATAGTACAAGCACAACATCACTATTAATCATAAAACACGTCAAGTTTATTTGAAAATTCTAAAGAAAAAGAACACAAACACACAATGCCTCAGTGATTAACAGAACTGTTTCACAGATCACAGAACTATATCAGGGGGTCATTTCTCAAGCAGAAATGTAGATAAAAAGAATGAAATCCTGTTCCCCAAACAAGTGCAAGAACCACAGAGTCAAGAATAGGTTAAATATACAAATAAAATAAAATCAATTAAAAACAATAGCACATCAACATAAAAACATATAAACATAAAGCTTGAGCCTGAGGACAGTGTGTCCAAAAGCACAACATCACTATTAATCATAAAACACCTCAAGTTATTTGAAAGTTCTGAGGACAAAGAACACACAAACACACAATGCCTCAGTGATTCACAGAAGTATATCACAGATCACAGAACTATATCAGGGTGTCTCATGTAGCACTTTAAGTGGGGTTGCATAGTTTATTTGACTCCTGATACCTGGCATCTTTTAGCTTTCACCAGCGCATCAATATCAGGCGTCACATCCTGAGTGGCAGCCAACTTCAGGATGTGATTCAAGTGCTTGTGCGTGAGCCTTGAGCACAGCTTTGTTTTATTTATGCTCATTACAGAGAGAACTTGCTCACAAAGATATGTGGTTCCAAACATGCACAACAGTTTTGCAGCGAGGGCTGTCAAGTTGGGGTAACCTGGCAAGAGATTCTGATTAAATGTGTCCAAGCCAGCTGCGGCAAATTTGCCCTTCAAATCCGAGTCACACTGCAAGTCTATTATTTCAAGTTGGATGCTGACGGGCAGATCAGAGGGATTCACGGTGAATGGCGAGCAAAAAACGTTGAAGTCTTTCTCCAGTTCACCAAAAATCTGAAAGCGTTGCTCAAACTCCCGTAACAGTCCCGTTATTTTATCTTTGAACCGCTTCATGTCTGCCACATGTTGGGTCGCGCACACATTTTTCAGACAGGGGAAGTGAGCTGCATCACCACCGGCAAGTTGCGTCTCCCACAATGACAGCTTCAACTTGAAAGAACGTATGCTGTCATAATACTGCGTGACAACTTTGTTGCGCCCTTGCAGCTGTTTGTTCAAGTTATTCAGGTGCTCTGTAACATCCACCATAAATGCAAGGTCCTGCATCCATTCTTTGGAATGGAATTCTAACACTGTTCAATTTCTTCTCGTAAATCAAAGAAACGCCTCAGCACCTCGGCTTAACCATCTTACCTCAGTGTGGTATGGCAGGCCATAGATGTGGTCTTTCTCTCTGAGAAGGCTGTCAAACTGACAGTGATTCAGGCTTCTGGATCGGATGAAATTAACAGTTTGGATGACCACCTTCATGACGTTATCCATCTTTAATGACTTGCAACACAAAGCCTCCTGGTGCAAAATACAGTGAAAAGTCAAAAAATCACGTCCTCCATTTGCAGATTGCACTTTCTCTCTGAACTTTGTCACAACGCCTGCTTTTTTCCCGATCATTGAGGGCGCACCATCTGTAGCCAGGCTGACAGCGCGGGACCATTCCACTCCGACCCTGTCCAGCGCGCCGACGAGTGCGGTAAAAATATCAGCTGCTGTCGTTGTATCTGTCATCGGCACCAACTCCACGAACTCCTCGGTGACGGTCAATGTGTCATCAACTCCGCGGATGAAAATGGCCAGTTGTGCAACATCTGTAATGTCCGTGCTTTCATCAATTGCAACCGAAAACGCAATAAATGACTTCATCATGCATGTGAAGTCATTTACTGGCTGTCCAAATCCACTGAAAGATCGGAAATCCTGTCTGCAACTGTGTTTCTTGTCAGGCTGATATTTACAAAAGCCTGACGCTTTTCAGGGCACACAATCTCAGCTGCCTTCATCATGCATGTTTTTACAAATTCACCCTCAATAAATGGTTTTGAAGCCACTGCGATTTCATTAGCAATGAGGTAGCTAGCTTTCACTGCAGCGTCACTGATGTCTCGGCTGTGAGTAAACACAGACTTGACCTACTTGCTCTGCCCCGGTATAAACAGTTTGCTTGCTTAACACAATTGCTATTGCGCCATCCAGTGGACGCAATTGGAACAGCAGTTTATTTTATTGAAAAATTGCAGCGCATTTTTATACTTTACAAAATCATCTCGCGGGCCGGATTAAACCCGTTTGCGGGCCTGATCCGGCCCGCGGGCCGGACGTTTGACACCCCTGTTCTACAGTGTACAATGACCCCAAAGTTAATTTGTGTCCTACTTGAGCGTACAGTGGATTCTGGAGTGTTGTGCAGTGCACAGGCCACCCAAAATGGTGGCAAACCTGTCCATCTGAAACAGCCCCACGTTAGCTAAATGTTCCTATGATGCGCTTCCTTAGGGCTCTCATTGCTTTCTAAACTTCAGTCACTCGTCTAAGATCACTCACTGAGAAGATACTTTGTAGAAATGTAACACTCAATACACTTCTATTAGCCTAGTCAAAATCTATTTTGAGATCGTCTACTTGTTTTCAAACTGATTTTTCTATTATGTTATAAGATTATTCTCATCAAAACTGTTTCCTTTACACAGAACCCCAGTGTACTACAGCACAGCAGTATAATTATTATTGTGCTGTATGCCATCTGAGGAAGAGAAACCGATCACCGTCTTGTGTGGTCGTTTTTTCTTGTAGGTGGCATCACGTGACATCAGGCTCTAACCCCTCTGTCCCTTTCCTTCCAGACATGGCCCAGCCCATCCAACAGCTCACCTCAGACACAAAGAACACAACGGACAGGGAGAAAGTCCCCTTCACACTGGTCACATGCAAAGAGAATGTAAGCTAATCTAGCCCCCTGTGTACTCATTCATTGCTCCCTCTGTCCCCATCACCCAGTAGGGAAAGATTGACTTTGCCGACAGGCAGTTGCTTTATCTATCTTATATTCTCAGCTTGATTTAATGGAGTTTGAGTAAACAGGGGAGAATTGAAAGTAAGAGTATTGATGCTAGCCTTTGAGCATTTTCTTTAATTTGAGTTAGATAAGAAGATAGATATATGAATATCTACCACTCTTTATATAGCTCGCTCTATCTCTATTGCTTTCTTTATCGATCAATTCCAGGGATTGACATTAAGGTCTGAAAGGCAATTGCCCATCAGGCAAGTCAGAAGTATTTTTTTTGGTTGCCCGAAGATTATGAACACTTGCCTGAAAGTGTAATTTAGCTATTTACATGCACAAATGCCATATACAGTATTGCCTGCCTTTCACCTACACGTAGGGGAGGAACCAGAAAGATCAGCTCTGGAATTCTTAGTATTTTGGTTGTTGTCAGTAAAGAAAAATCGCAGAGCAGGCTCAACTTGCCCGACTGGCATAAATGCCATACATTTGTTGTCTTTCATTTAAAAAAAATGGGGAGGAACCAGAGAGATCAGCTTTAGGCTATTGGAATTCTTTGCAGTTGGGTTGTTTAAAACAGAAATTAAAGGCCCAGTGCAGTCAAACGTGATTTTCCTGTGTTTTTATATATATTTCCACACTATAAGGTTGGAATAATACTGTGAAAATGATGACAATGCCCTTTTTGTAAGAGCTGTTTGAAAAGACCATCTGAAATGTCAGCCTGTTTTGGTGGGATGGAGTTTCGGCCTGCCTGGTGACATCACCAGGTGTTAAATTAGTTAAACCCAAAATAAAGAGTTCCAAACTTCTCTGCCAATAACACGTTTTCAGTTTTCCCCTCCCTACTAAGACAACTCCCAGACAGTCCTAGCAAAATTCTTGCTTGAGAAATTGCTCTTTGCTAAGAAGTTTTTCTTTTTGACCATTTTAATTAAAAACAATCACAGTAAGGTACTTAATTGTTACCCAGAAATTATTTGATTATTTTTTTTTAAACGGGTGCATTGGACCTTTAAATCACCTGCCCAATGGGGCAACCTCAGAACAGGCTCAACTAGCACGACTGCTCAGTTCACTTGACCCAGGAAAAAGGGCAACCCTTAGTCTATCTGTAATTTCTCTCTTTCTCTCCCGCTCTCTCTCCATTTCTCTCTTCTTTCTCTGTTCCTGTCCCTCTCCCTGTTCCTCCCGCTCTGTCCCTCTCTCTCAACGACCCTCTAACTATGAGTCCATTTATCTGTTGTTCTGCCCTATGCATTGTCCTGTGCAGTGTGGGAATGTACAGTATGAGAAGAGAGTCTACAAGAAGGCCAGCTGGGCATGTATCACTGTGCGAGAGGACACATACGAGCAGAGCATCTGTGCCGGCTTCATGAAGCTCATGCGATATATCTGCCAGCAGAATACCACAGGTGAGTGAGAGTAGCAGAGAAGGATCCATGTAGTTCATTTAGTTGTGTAGGCCACATATAGTGCCTTGCAAAAGTATTCTTCACATTTTATTGTTACAAAGTGGGATTTAATTGTCATATTTTTGGTCAGAAATATACACTAAATACTCTGTCAAAGTGGAAGAAAATAAAATATTTTTAAAGATTTAATAAAAAAGTAAATAAATTATAGTCATTGCATAAGTATTCAGCCCCTTTGTTTAGGCAAGCCTAAATTAGTTCAGGAGTAAAATGTGGCTTAACAAATCGCACATAAAATTACATGGACTCAATGTGAAATAATAGGGGTTGACATGATTTTTAAATGACTAACCCTTCCTGTGTTCCATACATACATCTGTAAGGTCCCTCAGTCAAGTTTTGAATTTCAAGCACAGATTCAACTACAAAGACCAGGGAGATTTTCGAAAGCCTCATAAAATAAAGGGTTGGTAGTAGATGGGTAACAATAACAAATCATGAATTGAATATCTCTTTAAGTATGGTCTAGTTAATAATGATGCTCTATATTTAAGCAATAAGGCCCGAGGGGGTGTGGTATATGGCCAATATACTACGGCTAAGGGCTGTTCTTAAGCACGACGCAGCGCGGAGTGTCTGGACACAGCCCTAAGCCATGGTATATTGGCCATATATCACAAACTCCCGAGGTGCCTTATTGCTATTATAAACTGGTTACCAATGTAATTGGAGCAGTAAAAAATAAATGTTTTGTCATACCCTTGGTATACGGTCTGATATACCACGGATATCAGCCAATCAGCATTCAGGGCTCGAACCACCCAGTTTATAATATGTATTAAACCACCCAGACATCTCAAGATACAGTCGTCCTTCTGAACTGAGCTGCAGGACAGGAAGGAAACTGCTCAGGGATGTTATCATGAGGCCATTGGTGATTTTAAAACAGTTACAGAGTTAAATGGCTGTGATGGAAGAACCTGAGGATGGATCAACAACATTGTAGTGACTCCACAATAATTACCTAAATGACAGTGAAAAGAACAACACAAATATCCAAAACAAGCATCTTGTATGCAACAAGGCACTAAAGTAATACTGCAAAAAAACATGCCAAAGGAATACACTTTTTGGCCTAAATGCAAAGCCCTATGTTTGGGGCAAACGCATCACTGAGTAACTGCTTCCTTATTTTCAACCATGGTGGTGGCTGCATCATGGTATGGGTATGCTTGACATCAGCAAATACTGGGGAGTTTTCAGGATAAGAATGAATGGGATAGGGCTAAGCAAAGTCAAAATCGTAGCGCAAAACCTGCTTCAGTCTGCTTTACACCAGACACTGGGAGGGGAAATCAGCAGGACAATAACCTGTAACACAAGGTGAAATCTACGCTAGAGTTGCTTACCAAGAGGACAGTGAATGTTCCTAAGTGGCCAGGTTATAGTTTTGACTTAAATCTGCTTGAAATACTATGGCAAGACTTGAACATTGCTCTCTAGCCATGATCCCCAACATCTTGACAGAGCTTGAAGAATTTTGAAAAGAATAATAATAATATGCCATTTAGCAGACGCTTTTATCCAAAGCGACTTACAGTCATGCGTGCATACATTTTTGTGTATGGGTGGTCCCGGGGATCGAACCCACTACCTTGGCGTTACAAGCGCCGTGCTCTACCAGCTGAGCTACAAATATTGCACAATCCAGGAGTGCAAAACTCTTAGAGGTGTTTCTATCATGTATGGACTCAGGGAGCTGAATACTTAGGCAACGACTATATTTTATTTGTATGAATCTTTTAAAAATGATCCAATTTTTCTTCCACTGACAGACTATTTTGTTGTAAAAAAAATATATATATATCTATATTTTTTTACTTAAATCAATTTTAATTCTACTTTGTAACACAATAAAATGTGAAGAAGTCCAAGGGGGGTGAATACTTATGCATCAGTTGCCATAACAACCCGTGGGTCACTTACCCTCCTTTTTCCTTGCTCTCGTTGTTGTTATTATTATTATTGTGATGATCATTATAATAATAAGTAATGTCATTATCATTAGTAGGCTTACAATAGCAGCCTTGTATAACCACGATCGAGCTGTAGGCCTAAGAGCGCACCCTGTTTAGTCTTAATACCGTAACTGACTTTGGCCTAGATTTCAATACTTACAGTGCATTCGGAAAGGAGTCAGACCGCTTGACTTTTTCACATTTTGCTACGTTACAGCCTTATTCTAAAATTGATATTTTTTAGAAACAATTCTAAAAACCTGTTTTTGCATTGTCATTATGGGGTGTTGTGTTTCGATTGATGAGAGGGAAAAAAACAATTTAATCTATTTTAGAATAAGGCTGTAACATAACAAAATGTAGAATAAGTCAAAAGGACTGAATACTTTCCGAATGCGCTACTGTATCAATCAATCATTTTATTTGTTCATGTCATCACACAGCGTAGGAGTCATTCATGATTTGAAATGCAATGAAGCATTTTTAAATAAAATAACAAAGCGACCTTGAATAATAAAATGTTCCATTTCGGAAATTGCATTCACGAATTAATGCGACTGTTTTTAGTCTTTGCTGTAATAAAGGCTGTACAAGAAAACGTTACAACAGACTGGTACGCTTATAATTAATTTTGTGTTTACATTGTTTACACCTGTTTGGCACACATAATATGCACGTAGCGCTTGCTCCTTACCTTATTTTTATTGATCTCCAGTATTTTCCACAACTAGTCAAATTTATTCCACACATCTGACTTCCCCTTTACCTCCTGAGCAACCAGTAACATTCCCCCGTTTCGAGTTTATTTGTCACGTCCTCTGCATCCATTTTGCTGTCATGTGTTACCGTGTTCAGAATTTGTTATAACCAGTTTGTTGATGTGATTATGATATGCTGTAGGTCAGGCCCTATTGGTCACGTTGCATACATGTGTTACGTAAAGAGAGCAAGGGTTGTGGAAATAGGGAATGTTTTTCCAAAAAATATGAGGGATTTCGATAACACAACCTTTCAGTCAGAAATGGCTGTAATTATGTTGCAGCTTCAGCAACATGGACAGCGCGATAAACACTGTTGATGTTCTGTGGTGGTCGCTGCAGCAGGGAGGAGAGCAAGACAACGGGTGCTAGTCACAGTCACTCGCTGTTTTTTTTTAACCACAGCACAGCAAACCTGAGCCAGGCCCAGCAAAATCAAATAAATTGCGGTCGGACTCCCTCTAGTCATTTGTGTGTCTTTAATTATTTCATCAAACAGTTCGCTTAAAGCATCAGACAAGCTCAGTGCATATAGTTGATTTGATTAAAACACATAGGATGTGTCTATTTGTTGACCAATCGATTGGTCGAAAGAACAGACGACTCTGGTCAACCAATATTTTTTGGGGTTGGGGACAGCCCTAATTCCCCAGAGTTAGATTAACACGTGGATACCATTTTTATGTCTTTGTGTCCAGTAAGAAGGAAGTTGGAGGTTGTTTTGTGGCCAGTACTAACTAGCGTTAGCACAATGACTGGAAGTCTATGGGTAACGCTAGTTAGCAATTGCGCTAGTTAGCAACTTCCTTCAAACTGCACGTAGAGACATAAAAATGGTATCCACAAGTTAATCTGACTCTGAGGAAAATGCCCAAATCCCGAAGGATCCCTTTTAACCTCTGTTTGGATCCTCCTCCCTCCCTCTGTGTGTGCCAGGTAACTACCTGGGTATGACCCTTCCCATTGTGACAGTGGTGAGGACTGATGACTCCCGCTCCAGCCTGTCCAGAGATGTGACAGTGGCCTACTACCTACCGTCCCAGCACCAGGACCACCCCCCCATGCCCTTTGACCCTGACATCACCATGGAGACATGGCCTGCCACCGTGGTCTACAGCAGGTGAGGAGGGGTCCTGTCCTATTTCGCTAAGGAGACATGAGAGCTATGTAGACATTTGCATTATTATAAATTGTTGTTTTTTTACATTATTGTTAGCATTATTAATGTTAGTGTTATTTATTAGATTTGTACTTTATTAGACATACACTAAATACAAAAGTATGTGGACACCCCTTCAAATTAGTGTATTTGGCTATTTCAGCCCACCCGTTGCTGACAGGTGTATAAAATCGAGCACACAGCCATGCAATCTCCATAGATAAACATTGGCAGTAGAATGGCCTTACTGAAGAGCTCAGTGACTTTCAACGTGGTACCGTCATAAGATGCCACCTTTCCAACAAGTCAGTTCGTAAAATGTCTGCCCTGCTAGAGCTGCCCCGGTCAACTGTAACTGCTGTTATTGTGAAGTGGAAACGTCTAGGAGCAACAATGTCTCATCCGCAAAGTGGTAGGCCACACAAGCTCACAGAACAGGACCGCCTAGTGCTGAAGCACGTAGTGCGTAAAAATCGTCTGTCCTCGGTTGCAACACTCACTACCGAGTTCCAAATGCCTCTGGAATTAACGTCAGCACAATAACTGTTTGTCAGGAGCTTCATGAAATGGGTTTTCATGGCCGAGCAGCCGCACACAAGCCTAGCGTCGGCTGGAGTGGTGTAAAGCTCGCCGCCATTGGACTCTGGAGCAGTGGAAACGCGTTCTCTGACGTGAAGAATCACGCTTCACCAGCTGGCAGTCCGACTGACGAATCTGGTTTTGGCGGATGACAGGAGAACGCTACCTGCCCGAATGCATAGTGCCAACTGTAAAGTTTGGTGGAGGAGGAATAAGGGTCTGGAGCTGTTTTTCATGGTTCAGGCTAGGCCCCTTAATTCCAGTGAAGGGAAATCTTAACACTATAGCATACAATGACATTCTAGACAATTCTGTGCTTCCAACTTTATGGCAACCGTTTGGGGAAGGCCCTTTCCTGCACAAAGCGAGGTCCATACAGAAATGGTTTGTCAAGATAGGTGTGGAAGAACTTGACTGGCCTGCACAGAGCCCTGACCTCAACCCCATCAAACACCTTTGGGATTAATTGGAACGCCGACTGCAAGCCAGGCCTAATTGGCTAACATCAGTGCCCAACCTCACTAATGCTGTTGTAGCTGAATGGAAGCAAGTCCCCGCAGCAATGTTCCAACATCTAGTGGAAAGCCTTCCCAGAAGAGTGGAGGCTGTTATAGCAGCAAAGGGGGGACCAACGCCATATTAATGCCCATGATTTTGGAATGAGATGTTCAACTAGCACGTGTCCACATGCATTTGGTTACATAGTGTACACTGAGTCTACAACACATTAAGAACACCTTCCCAATATTGAGTTGCAGAACAGCCTCAATTCGTTGGGGCATGGACTCTACAAGGTGTCGAAAGCATTCCACAGGGATGCTGGCCCATGTTGACTCCAATGCTTCCTACCGGTGTGTTAAGTTGGCTGGATGTCCTTTGGGTGGTGGACCATTCTTGATACACATGGAAAACTGTTGAGCATGGGAAACTGTTGAGCATGAAAAACCCAGCAGCGTTGCAGTTGACACAAACCAGTGCGTCTGACACCTACTACCATACCCCATTCAAAGGCTATTTTGTCTTGCCCATTCACCCTCTGAATGGCACACATACACAATCCATGTCTCAATTGTCTCGAGGTTTAAGAATCATTCTTTAACCTGTCTCCTCCCCTTAATCTACACTGATTTTTTAAAAAGTGGATTTAACAAGTGACATCAATAAGGGATCACAGCTTTCACCTGGATTCACCTGATCAGTTTGTCATGGAAAGAGCAGGTGTCCTTAATGTTTTGTACACTCAGTGTATATTTACAAAAGAAGTGTTTCTATTATAATACATGGATACACATTATTGCAATTTGATGATGTAATGATTTATAATAACTTTTCATTAACAGTGTAACCTTACAGAGATGGATGAATCTCTCCCCCTGCCAGGTCGTTCAGCGGGCCCACTACTGAGACCTCTATCCTAGGGGAGATCCATGCCCTGGGCGAGGTGCTGGACTCTCCAGAGCTGTGTGTGAGCGAGTCCTTCATCGTTGCCGGCTATACCAGCCCCGCAGCCGCACACCGACACAACGAAGTCTGGTTCCTGGAACGCTGCTAAATTGGCAATGTAACAAAAAACAAAACAAGAAAATGTCAACAAATGATAAACACTCTCATGGCAATGAAATGTATTACAGCGAACCAAATTGAAAGCCTCAACCAAACCAAAAGTAGCAGAATTTCATAAAATTGGGTTTAAAGTTTACAGATTACATCAAGGAAACGAGTACACAAGTATGCTTCATTTTTAAATGTGTTTTAATAGGTCCATGGTCTCAGGCAGATAATAATATTATAATAATATATGCCATTTAGCAGACGCTTTTATAATAATATAATAATAATATGCCATTTAGCAGACGCTTTTATCCAAAGCGACTTACGGTCATGCGTGCATACATTTTTGTGTATGGGTGGTCCCGGGGATCGAACCCACTACCTTGGCGTTACAAGCGCCGTGCTCTACCAGCTGAGCTACAGAGGACCACATTTATCCATGACCCTTGGCGTTGCAAGTACCATGCTCTACCGACTGAGCTACACAGAACCACAATATGTGTCCCTCCAAATATCTACAGCTTTCTCATCACATCAGTACGTCAATTTACTTTACTTTATTAAATGTAGTTTTACAGGGACAGTGCACATTAAGTGCCCGTTTTTATCAAGCCGGCTAATTTTAAACTGCAGTCCCTGGGAAGGTTATTAAAAACAATTAAGATGACAAGCAGACAATGAGAGTACAACAGGACAAGGAAACGTATGACAAGCAGACAGACAGAGCTTGTAGTATCATTAAGACAAGACCTGCCTCCAAGGTATTTCACAAGAGTTTCCCAGCTCAGGAAAACCCTTGAATGAGTAGGTGTGTCCAAACTTTTGACTGGTAGTGTATATCTGGTTTATTATTCAACAATGAATTATTATTTTCACTCTACCATACGAACTGACAGTGAAGTGACACAAAGACTTATACATCTGATTTGATGAATTTAAAATATGTGTGTTTTATGGATTTGAGATGTTATGTTTATTCAGGTTGAATTGTTGTCACTGGAGACCTGTACGGGCAGGATTTTAGAACATCATGAGGTTCTATGTAATGGTTTTATCTGGTACAAAACGAACCCTCTGTGGTTTGGGGTGTAGTTCTCAATGCAGTTATGTGGATGTTGGTGAAAGATAAATCTATATTATATGCTATAATAAATGGAATAACTGGGTAGCCATACGAAGACTAACAGAAGTAGATAGCCTTGTATTTGTCGCTTGGTTGTTGACCGTAGATTTGATTGAACTCTGTTTTAAAGAAGTCTTTACTTTTACATTTTATTCATTATATCCCTGGTTGTCATAATAGTTTTATTGCCTTAAACCAGTGCTTGACTTTGGCAGGAGCTCACCGTAGCTGAGTACCGGCACCTCAAATGTTCTGCTTCTTGAGCTCCTGATCCTAATAATAATAATAATAGAATATTATAGAATATTAGCTCCAAAGTCTTGTGGAGCTCTTGCACCTACATTTAAACAGTACCGGCACCCAAAATGAGTACTGGCAACTATTCCAGTCCAAGTCAAGATCTGCCTTAAACAGTCTGTAGTTCTCAACCTACTGTAAGCGTTCATTTGGCCAAGTCCTGTGCATTTTAATGTGTGAATCTTCTAACAGGAGGAACATGAGGTTTCCTGAGTGTCCTGTCAAAACATTTACATTTACATTTTAGTCATTTAGCAGACGCTCTTATCCAGAGCGACTTACAGGAGCAATTAGGGTTAAGTGCCTTGCTCAAGGGCACATCGACAGATTTTTCACCTAGTCGGCTTGGGGATTAGAACCAGCGACCTTTCGGTTACTGGCACAACGCTCTTACCCACTAAGCCACCTGCCGCCCCCACGTCACAGATGTGTACCTGTACTGCTTTCCTCATTAGATTGTGTTCCAATGTGTAGTTTAAATGCAATCATAACATGATCTGACAATATGATTTATCATCCCCCCCTCCACAGATACACAGCTAGCAGTCAGTTGTTATGGTTTTACTCTGATGCTATAAATTTAGTTGTCATTCCTATTTTCCTAGTATTTTATATTTTCATCAGTAGAGACACACTATATCATTTGGGCCTAAACCAGGTGTTTATAACCTCAAGTAATGTGTTCTGTTATACATGTTTCTTGACTATTTAAGCTACAAGCTGTAGTAGGAGCCAATGTAACATGCAAAAAAGTTGTCTATCTGTGCCTCTTTTTTCACTGAAAACAATGAGTTATGCACTGCAATACAGTATTGGTCTTCACAAAGTTCGCTGCTTCAGTGTTATGAGATATTTTTGTCAGATGTTACATTTACATTTTAGTAATTTAGCAGACGCTCTTATCCAGAGCGACTTACAGTTAGTGCATACATTTTTTTTCATACTGGCACCCCGTGGGAATCGAACCCACAACCCTGCCGTTGCAAGCGCCATGCTCTACCAACTGAGCTACACGGGGCCTATGGTTACTATGGTATACTGAAGTATAATTACAAGCATTCCATAAGTGTCAAAGGCTTTTTTTGACAATTTACATTAAGTTAATGCAAAGAGTCAATTATTGCAGTGTTGACCCTTCTTTTTCAAGACCTCTGCAATCCGCCCTGGCATGCTGTCAATTAACTTCTGGGCCACATCCTGACTGATGGCAGCCCATTCTTGCATAATAAATGCTTGGAGTTTGTCAGAAGTTGTGGGTTTTTGTTTGTCCACCCGCCTCTTGAGGATCGACCACAAGTTCTCAATGGGATTAAGGTCTGGGGAGTTTCCTGGCCATGGACCCAAAATGTCAATGTTTTGTTCCCCGAGCCACTTAGTTATCTCTTTTGCCTTATGGCAAGGTGCTCCATCATGCTGGAAAAGGCATTGGTCGTCACCAAACTGTTCTTGGATGGCTGGGAGAAGTTGCTCTCGGAGGATGTGTTGGTACCATTCTTTATTCATGACTGTGTTCTTAGGGAAAATTGTGAGTGAGCCCACTCCCTTGGCTGAGAAGCAATCCCACACATGAATGGTCTCAGGATGCTTTACTGTTGGCATGACACAGGACTGATGGTAGCGCTCACCTTGTCTTCTCTGGACAAGCTTTTTTCCGGATGCCCCAAACAATCGGAAAGGGGATTCATCAGAGAAAATGACTTTACCCCAGTCCTCAGCAGTCCAATCCCTGTACCTTTTGCAGAATATCAGTCTGTCCCTGATGTTTTTCCTGGAGAGAAGTGGCTTCTTTGCTGCCCTTCTTGACACCAGGCCATCCTCCAAAAGTCTTCGCCTCACTGTGCGTGCAGATGCAATCACACCTGCCTGCTGCCATTCCTGAGCAAGCTCTGCACTGGTGCTGCCCCGATCCCGCAGCTGAATCAACTTTAGGAGACGGTCCTGGCGCTTGCTGGACTTTCTTGGGCGCCCTGATGCCTTCTTCACAACAATTGAACCTCTCTCCTTAAAGTTTTTGATGATCCGATAAATGGTTGATTTAGGTGCAATCTTACTAGCAGCAATATCCTTGCCTGTGAAGCCCTTTTTGTGCAAAGCAATGATGACGGCACGTGTTTCCTTGCAGGTAACCATGGTTAACAGAGGAAGAACGATTATTTCAAGCATCACCCTCCTTTTAAAGCTTCCAGTCTGTTATTCTAACTCAATCAGCATGACAGAGTGATCTCCAGCCTTGTCCTCGTCAACACTCTCACCTGTGTTAATGAGAGAATCACTGACATGATGGCAGCTGGTCCTTTTGTGGCAGGGCTGAAATGCAGTGGAAATGTTTTTTGGGGATTAAGTTCATTTTCATGGCAAAGAGGGACTTTGCAATTAATTGCAATTCATCTGGTCACTCTTCATGACATTCTGGAGTATATGCAAATTGCCATAATCAAAACTGAGGCAGCAGACTTTGTGAAAATTAGTATTTGTGTCATTCTCAAAACTTTTGACCACGACTGTGCAGAGGATCTACACCCGAATGTTGCAAATATTTTTGAACGGGATTCACTGATTATAAAAACTAAGGTGTGCTTCCATCAAATACACAATGGGGCTGAGGAAAACAGTGATGTCTAAGAGGGGATCTGGTGAGACTGAAGAGAAGAGGGGGATGAGCACACACATCAATGGTCACTGAAAAGGTGCTACATGGTCACTCCAACGTCTGCATTGGCAGTGCAGCATTTACAGTGATACGGCCTCTGCAGAAGTCAGGGCATTCATACTTTTTGCGCTTTGCAGAGCAGCGCGGAGCTGTTGTGAAGGAAGTGAGTTTGTGTTTATACAGGACCTCCTGCCCTCATCTACTGTCAACCAATCATGTCAGTGCGACGCTATACGGAGCCCTCCGCATTGTTAAAATATTTGAGAGGCGCACAGCAATGCAGTACGGAACAAAATTTGGCCTGTGGGTGCCTCCGGAGGCTCCGCAATTGCATCACACCAGCCATACGGTGCCTCCGACCACATTTTCAGATCAAGCATAAATTGGCTCTTAGGGCGTACAAAGAGAACACATAACATATGCCTTTTCAAACACTGCATGCACTAAGAGAGGGGCGGCATAAGTCTCTTTCCTGCCTTTGTGTTTTTGGTGCCAAAAGTCGTCTAGCGGACCAGTGGTCTTGCTTGACAGATTTCCCATCATTAGTAGCTCCAGTGAGGGAAAATGTATTTGATCCCCTGCTGATTTTGTACATTTGCCCACTGACAAATAAATTATCAGTCTATAATTTTAATGGTAGGTTTATTTGAACAGTGGGAGACAGAATAACAACAAAAAAATCCAGAAAAATGCATGTCAAAAATGTTATAAATGTATTTGCATTTTAATGAGGGAAATAAGTATTTGACCCCTCTGCAAAACATGACTTAGTACTTGGTGGCAAAAACCCTTGTTGGCAATCACAGAGGTCAGACGTTTCTTGTAGTTGGCCACCAGGTTTGCACACATCTCAGGAGGGATTTTGTCCCACTCCTCATTGCAGATCTTCTCCAAGTCATTAAGGTTTCGAGGCTGACGTTTGGCAACTCGAACCTTCAGCTTCCTCCGCAGATTTTCTATGGAATTAAGGTCTGGAGACTGGCTAGGCCACTTCTTCTTGAGCCACTCCTTTGTTGCCTTGGCCGTGTGTTTTGGGTCATTGTCGTGCTGGAATACCCATCCACGACCCATTTTCAATGCCCTGGCTGAGGGAAGGAGGTTCTCACCCAAGATTTGACGGTACATGGCCCTGTCCATCGTCCATTTGATGCGGTGAAGTTGTCCTGTCCCCTTAGCAGAAAAACACCCCC